TCGAGCATATGCAAACAAGTACAAATGAAGTTTATTTATTTATGTCAAATGGCAGGCGTCTTGATGGTTTTCATTAGCCCTTTAATTGACCTCAGACTTCATAGAGGAGAAGGAACATCAAAGTGAAAAAGGTCGAGATGGGGGGGGACAGAAGAGTATTTCAAAGATGTAAGAGACAAACACAAAGGTAGAAAAAAGGAAAGAAGAGTACTGTGGAAATAGTCGAATATGGCATAGAGTGAGGTGGTGGTAGTTTGAAGTGAGAAGTCAACTGTCAGTTAATAGACTTTTTTGTCGTATGAATATACGTTGCCCAGGGTGCTCCACGTGGAGGTAAGTCTATCGCACACCCCAGTACGAATGAAATTACTTCAGTACAAATGAAGTAATTTCAATCTAAGTGGAAGTATGTTTTTTCAAAGCCATATAGATAAGCGCATATATAAAGAGAATGATTATGCTCAAAGGACGTAGGTAATTTCATCATGACTTAAGGTTCCCTAAATAACATCATTAAAAATTTTGAATCTTTCAATTTTTTTCAGGTTAGTCATTTTAACAAGAACGGAGAAGTTTGAAAAGGTTTATAAGCGTTTTCCCTAAGTTTGTCTTCATATGAAGTTTGAAATTTCAAGGAAAATGAACACCTTGAAATTTAAAATTAAAATCCATACTTGTGCGATATGGTATTTTACAGAAAAATTTAATAGATTGTTTATCCGTCTCAAGATGACGAAATAATATATTATCCAACTGTGAAAATATAAAATATAAATTCATTCTGCCAAAATGTACACGAAATATTCAAGTAACATAATAATTTAAGCCTAGATGTTACAACTATACATTTTACGTTGTAGATAATGAAAATTTTCCAATATGTAGAAAGAATGCTGCCTTTATACAACATTGTAAATATTCCCGAAAACATATTAACTTAATTAGGGTTAAGAACACACCATATTGAAATATTATAATTGAATTTTTAATATAATGAGAGAATCTTAACTAAATCGGAAAGTAATAAAAGCATTATTTAAATCAGGTTTTATTGCAAATATTTCAAATTCAATGATTCATTATGGAAAAATTCTTTTGAAGATATAGGAAGATATAAGTTAAATATCAATTTGCAAATCATTTGGTTCAACGACAAAATAATATTATAAAGAATTTTCAAATGATAATCTTTTAATTTTTATTCTATTTAGCATGTAATCTTGTGATGTCTTCACAATTTCATTAAGAAAATCGAATTTGTTATACTATTTAGCACATTAAGCGTTGAATTTATATTAACGCCAACGACACATTTTCTGTGATGACGTCAATTTTCCCTATGAAAACAGACGATTTGGGAGGAAAGTTGGTCATAAAAGTCCAACTTGGTGATGATTTGCGTCGTATCCTTATTCATAATGAAGAATTAACGCTCGACGAGCTCGTTTTGATGTTACAGCGCGTATTCAAGCCTCAATTAGATAATCTGGAAAGCTTTACTATAAAATATAAAGATGAAGGTTTGCTCTAGTCCTTTTTACGATACGTTTACTAGATGATGAATATATTACTATTGCGGAGGAGTTTGACCTTTCCTATGCTATTCACTCCAATAAGACTCTTCGTCTGAAAATTTTTGGTGAGTTATATTTCCCTTATTTCAATTGTTATTTCTGGTAATATGCATATAATAACAGTGTACATTTTAATTGATTTCATTTTTCTCTTTAATTTCTCATTTTTAGTGTTGATTATTGCCGCTTGTATTGGCCTTGTTTTTTTCTCTAATCGTTATTTTCAGTGCCTCATACAGACCAATCTTGCGTCGAATCCATAAAAGCAGTCGCTCCGTCTCATTCTAGTGCGGATACCACCTCAATCGTATCCCAGATAAATCGTATCCACGATGAAATTAAACAACTAGCTGGAAAGTTTGAAGAATTTTTCTTTAACTTCAAAGACGAATCGAGACCATGCCCTCATGAATCAGCTAAACCTTCATCAACGACTGAGGTAAATAGCAATGAAGTGATATGTGCTAAATTTTGTATTAAATATTTATAATTTTTCGTCAACATTAAAGCCCCCTAGTAATACTTTATCCGACGCTGAGCCACCGAAACTGAATTCTTTTACTCCAAAACCTTTGGAATCGGTTGTCCCAGCTTTTGCACCGCATAAGCCTGCAGATTTGGCACCCTCTTCTCATCCGATTCCACTTTCTGTAGGTTTCAAGCTTATCTGTGTATCATTTTTCAGTTGGGTTTATCTTGGAAATGTTTTCCCGTCTTAGAATCCATCGTCAACACTTGATTCATTCATATCCTCAAATCTCAGTGGACCTTCGGGTGGCCAGCACTCAATGGCACCAACATCTGCTGCATCAGCACAGCCTCCTATCCTTCCTACCGCTACTTCATTGGCTACTAATAGCCCTGCGCCACAAAATCCATCAGCTTCAGCACCACAGCCACAGCAGCCGGCACTTTTGCCAACTGCCTACTTGCCTCAACAAAGCGGTGGTCCTTCATCGCTTTTGGGTCAGGGACCGCCACCGCGCCCTGCCTTCATGGGTGGACCTATGCCTCCACCTCAACAGCAATATGGTGGTATGCCCCAACCACCATTCTTGCATCAGCCTCGACCAATTTCCACTGTTTCAAATACCCCTTCGCAAGTAAGTTTTTCTTCAATTGGTTTGGACTTGGATTTGGACAATATTTGGTATTCAAGGTTAATGTTTCTTAGCAGAACATGGGGACATATTCCAGCTCTGGACATACTGTTAATCTTACTATCTCATGATGGAGAACAGAGATATTCGCTTTGTAATTACCAAAAAGTATTCTAGATGACTTCGGCCTTTTAATAATTGAGATGAACAATCTATTTGGTTGTGGAATAAAAAGTCAATGTTGAGGTCGTGAAAAATTGGAACGTAAATAATTTGAGGAATAAGTCGTCTAGAACATCATAAAGTCTGAAAGGTTTTGCCTGTTGATTGGCAATCAAACGTGTGTTATAAATAAATGTACAATTGCTCTTTTGTAATTAATCGGTTTTATCTTTGTCTTTTTGTCTTTTGTTTATTTCAGTTAGTTAGCTTTCAGTTAGGTCGAAATTGTCTAAGTGTTCAACCTTATTCCTATCAAATCGAACCGCTTACAATGCGATTTGTGAAATGGAAAAATTCAGCTAATTTCCAAAATTCGCATTTTACTCGCACATTCACCTGTTGTTCCTTTAAGTGTTCGGAACAGTGTTGTCGAAGCTATCTGGCTAGTTCATGATAGGTTGTGCATGATTCTAAACGTACATGCATGTTTCAACACGATTTTTGCGAGGTCGAATGTGGTACTCCGAGGAGGAACATGAATTTCGTGACCTCTGCCTTCGCAGAAGTGCATTTCTTCAAAATTATATGTACATGTCACTTAACTCAATGTTTCGAATCTTAATATATCCTTGTGTTTAGTACACCCAGAACTGTAATGTCTTGTTGTCAATGCTCTTGCATATTTGATATTTGTGCATCATATCAGTCAGGTGTTTACTATTAACGTGCTTTGTGCCGACAGATAAATATTTCTGGAAATGTGCCTCTTCTAAACAAACTGCTGCTATTCTTAATTTTTTTGTTATTCATGGTGAATGCAAATGAATAAATGGCGTTCAATTTTTGTAAGGAATTTTTTAAGTGCCTAGTGAGGAAGTGGTGACCTGGATGTGTGTAATATAGCCATCACCAAAATATAGTTACATCACTTAAATTCAGAATTCATCAAATTGTCTTCTTTTACTAAATTTGTGTCCTTAACTCACATTTCATTGCTATATTCCCAGTTAAATAGTATTTAACTTAATCAATTTTAGCGAAATTTAAGATTCTCTTCGTCCAGGTTGCCGAATGTTTTGGTTTGTCTGCTTGCTATTTTAGTTATGATTGCATAATAAAATCTTTCGCATTTTTTTGAGCTCTAAAATTTCACTTACATGGTTTAATACTTTCTATATGCTCTTTTCCACCCTTTTCATTTACAGTACGAATTGGTTTGAAGTGCTCATATCTTATGTCAACAAGTTGCAAAGTTTTTTTGTTGCAGAGTTTACAGTTATTCCATCACTCTTAAAATTTAAGTGACAATAAAATCTACGCAGTGAACATATTCAAACCTAGTAGTTTTTATACTATAGTTTTCTGAAAATCTGCCGAGGGCGGTCAAATGGATAATCCCATTTCATGAAATTATTTTTGGAATCAAATAGTCGCCCACCCGAATAAGCGCCCATGGCCAGTAATGCAGAAGTAAAGTACATCACTCAGCTAAATTAATCTCCTTGTGTTGGGTTACTGCCTTAGTTTTATCAAAAGCTCTTTTAAGGTTAATTTTATATAACTACTTAAAATTTATATAAGTAGCTCTATTATTATTTTTCCACTAAAGCAATTGATGGGTGGTCAAATCCAAGGCCCACCACCTCCACCAATGCCACCGTCGATTTCAATGATGTCTCAGCCGCCCCAATTGTCAATGAGTGGCATTAGTAGTAGCGGCATGATGCCACCACCCCCTGCCATGTCGATGAGCGGTGTTAATATTGGCAATATGGTACCACCACCTCCACCAATGGGGGCCGGCGTTAATCGATTCCCCCCTGCCGTCCCCTCAGGTGGTGGAATGATACCACCACCACCACCACCAATGGGAGGTATGGGACCTCGTGCACCTCCACAACCTCAAGCACCCTTACAACTTGGTGGTCCCCCTATGTGTGGAGGAGCGTACGATCAACGTCCAATGTAATGCTGAGGATGGAATACGGATTCGTTAGAACTTTACTGCTGCTGTCACGATTTAGCGATTCTTTGCTCTCTCTCTTTTTCTCTCTTATTCTAGCTTTTACTTAGACATTCTAAATGCTTACCTTTTGCACGTTCTCTTTATATTCTCCTTTCTTTTGTCGCCTTTGCATTCGTCGTTAATATTACAACATATTTCAATCCATTTATCGTTTAAAGTGACTGCCTTGGTTGTATGTGGAATTCGGTTTTTTTCTATAAATTGGTGATCGATTGGTGCTTTTGTCTGTACTGGAACGTCTAGAACGGAGGTCGAAAGATGTTTTGTTCGAATAATAGGACATTAGTTAAACACCCGGCTTTCTTGAGGTTGTGCAATTATATCCTACAGGGTCACTTATCATATTTTCTCCAATATCGACGGCGGCCCTAAAGGAACGAAACCAAAATGACAGGGGGGGGTGTTGTGAGGTGTTAAGAATCAGGACATCAATAATAGTATTGACTCACTCTTATTGACTATTACCTTTGATGACATGCTTGCATGCCAAACCTTAACATTTCTCAGTTAGTTTGTTCTTTTTAATTTACATGCATTTATCCTAGTGAGTGAGGTGTCGCTGAAATTCAAAAATAAGCGTAAGGAGAGGTCCTTCCTAAAGTGATTTGGAATTAATAACTCAGTTACATTGATTGCTATTAGATTATCGGGGTTGTTTGAAAGTCAGCCCATCCTAATGAGCGCCGTGAATTGATGATGCTTGAAAATAACTTTGGTTATGAGCTAAACAGGAGCAGGGTGGTTGGTGTTCAAAAAATAGGTCTTATTGCAAGACGGATTTGGCAAGCACTAATTGAATCTTGACCTGCAATGAATGAGTTTAACTTTCCACTCAGAAGTACTAAGGGTTCATTCAAGTTGGCAGGTAGACAGGAGGTCTTTTGTTGTAAAGTAATTTTCCTAACACATAGAAAAATAAAATTTTCAAGCATATTAATAAATTATAAGTGATATGCATGCTTTTACAGTGTTTTTAACGAATGGAAGTTAATGAGCGAGTAAGATTGAGCGATATATTAGGAAAACCTGCATCACTTAATTTTTTAGATTGGCGGTCTAGTAATTACCTAGGAAAACTGCTTTGTCAATCAATTTGCAGGATTTTATTTTTCGAAATTATAAATTAGGATGCTGGCAACAAAAATCGATTAAAAGTCAAAATCCAATGCGGACGTCTTTATTGAAGAATTGCATGTCACGACTGCAAGGTGACGTCATGTCTACATAAACAAACGATGGACCAATTTAAACAGAATGCTGTTTTTATAGATAACTTATAGCAACGTGAAATTAAAATTCAACACTTTTTTTGGCATCTCTTTTCTGTTTTGAGAAAGGCTAATATTTGACTTAATTTAAAACTTTAGATTTATTGTCACCCATTTTTCTACAAACTTTGTCCTAAATAACCGAGAAAATGGAAATAAAATTAAAAAATGAATTTTACTTTTTGCCCACCACTTTGCCCTAGATGATTTTAGAACTAGGGGAATTATAATAGGATTTGCAATTCAGGAATATTACAATCTGTAATATATGAGAAAGTCTGATATTGCCAATATATGGAATACAGGAAGTTTATGAAATCTATCAGGATCTTGCTATTTATTGTCGAATGATAGCAGATTTAGAAGATCATCGAAGAGATACAATTAATGTTCATCATTTGAAAGGATTTTATTAATCAATAATTCCTTTTCTTTCTCAAAAATATTAGAAATCAGCTTGATCATTTAAGGCAAAGCAGAAATACAATTATTAATTGTAAGAAAAGTGGTTTGGTTTAATAAATTCCAAGGTGTAATAGAGGGAGTTGAAAATGCAAAGCGAATATAAAAACGTCAAAATGGTCTTTTGTATAAAATTTCATTATTCAATAACTATTATTTCAAATGGCAGGCGTTATGATGGGTATCATTAGCCCTTTAGTTGACTTCGGGATTCACAGAGGGAAGATAAACATCCAAGTGGTAAAAAGTCGAGAGGGGGACAGAATAATGATTCACAGGCGTAAAAGAGACAGACAAACACAAAGGTAGAAAAAAGGTGAGGTGAATACTGTGGAATTATTCGAATATGAAATGCAATGGGGTCATGGTAGTTTGAAGTCAGAAGTCAACTGCCGATTAATAGACTTTTTTGCCGTATGAGTATACGTTGCCCAGGGTGCACCACGTGGAGGTAAGTCTATCGCATTTTGTTTATTGCAAATAGCTAAGTCAACTAAACAGGTTTGAAATCTCACGATTGGCTGCCTTGTTAATCAATGAGTTGAATGTTCGATACTGCAGAGAAACGATGCACGAAAAAGTCCTGATTTATCCACAGTGCTTTCTACGACAAAATATCTTACCATAGAACGACTCCCGAAACTGTTCAGCTATCTCAATGACATTGAGGAAACAGAGGTATAGAGAGAGAGGAGCGTTTATTGAATTTATACATATAATACATTATACATATATAAACATTTTTCTCCACACTCAAAGTACAGAAAGTGCCCTTAATAGTGCACTTAAACTACTATCAAACTTGTGTGACAAAAATGGAATGGTAATTAACACCGCAAAAACTGCATTCCAAACATTTTCTTTGGCCCATCAGAGCATAAACCCGCTCTTAAGGTACAAGGAAATTACCCTAGAAAAAACCAATGAGTTCACTTATCTCGGAATGACGTGTGACACAAAGCTAACGTGGAAAAGTCAAATTGCTAAAATAGCAGAACGCGTCTCCAATAGACTGAATGTCCTGAAGCGTCTTGCTGGTAGCGTATGGGGCTGTGCGCGCTCAACTCTCAACACCACTTACAAGATGTTTATTCAGCCAATAATGTTGTATTGCTGTGAGGCACTCATTACAGCCACAGAGGTGACTCTCAAACCCCTCGAGAAGGCACACAACCATGCATTACGACTAATTACTGGAGGGATAAAATCAACACCCATTGATGCAATGCTCCAAGTTACAGGAAACACCACAATAGGCTCCCTTATCAAAGAGAAGGCCTTGATCCTGTATGAGAAACTACTGCGCATTCCCATGAACAAGTTCTTCAGCACCTATGAGAATAGACCAAGACATCTGAAAACGCAATCTGGTCTAATACAGAAAGCCATAGAACTGAAGAAAGCGTTACAAATCGATGATCAACCAAAAAGCCTCTCTCTCCCCATGAACCCATTAGCAGACATTGATGTAGTGTGTNTCGAAATTTACCAAAGCGGTGATACTTTCGGACTCACAATCAGCAATAGACTCTATTGGAAACGGAAAGACACCCAAAACAGCTGAGATAAAGGAATGTAGAAAACTGTATGAGCTGCTGAGAGAGAAAAACAAAACAGTGGTCCTACAATGGATTCCTGGTCACTGTGGCATTAAAGGCAATGAGATTGGTGACACACTTGCTAAGAAGTGGACAACGATTTTGCAATGCATGGACCGGCCGATGTCTTTCCACACAATGAAGGCCTTAATCAGGAGAGAATTCCAGACCTCAAGGTACAACGAACTCAAAGCTCGAACAAAGGAGAAACAGTGGACAGTGGCACTCTCCGACATACCCGACTGGCCAAGAATCGAAGCCGTTGCTGAGTTTATACTACGTACCGGACACGATTGCTTGGCAAAACACCTTCACAGATTGGGAGTATACACTCAACCCACATGCCCTCTATGTAACCTACATGAGGAAATGGAGAAGACCCACCTGATTCGGTGTCCAGCTCTAAAGACAAGGACGGAAAGCCAAAGATACTGGGAAGCAAGAAGACAGCTAATGAATTGCTATTAATTAACTGCTATAAATGTACCCCCCCCCTCTTGGGGGAAGCTGAAGTCAAAGATTAAGGGCTAATGATAAATATCATGAAGCCTGCCATTTGAAATAAATAAATATTTTTATCGTTAAGTGCTATTGAATTTGGTAAGTAGACTTAATAATAACTAGCCTTTGCACAATTTCTCGTCTGTAAAGCTACTTTACCTATCTTTTTTCTGTCGTATAAATTAGATATCTTAATTTGGTAGAATTTTCCACATCCAGTCAGTCACCGTTTTCCGGGTTTCGTGGAAGAGAGGAGGGGGGAGAATATTACGATGGCGGTGACGGACAATGTAAGGACCATTCATCACAAACCTTCGAATATGCTATTAAGGAATAAAGAAAGCAATCAAATGTATAAAGGCATTAAATTATTATACACTCCACTGATCCCCTGTTTTCATTCAATTTTCTGCCAATTTGCGTTAATGATTTAAAAAATAAATTGCGGATGACGGAAGCCAGCTTCTCTTAGCTTGACTCTAGGTGTCAATCTATACTATTTCAGAGAGATCGAGGTTAGCAATAAAAGCATAAAATATATTACAATAATCATTTATATAAATTTCAGGAAAAAAAACAAGCGACTAGTAAAAACACCATAAGCTAATGCACAATCTTTGTGTCAATAAATTTAATAATTTTTTTTTGGAAGTCAAATCAAATGCCGAGTGAGAGACTTTTTTGCCGTACGAAGATACGTTGACCAGAGTGCACTACGTTGAAAAAAGTCAGCATAAAATTTGATAAGGAAGTTGTTCGAATCATAAAATAGTAATTTTTATTATTATCAAAGTACTTAACATTAAACAGGATTGTAGTAAAATTGATTACGTAAGAATACTCCACTACAAAGTTGCGCACTGTTTGAAATGATTCCATATTATATCTTAATTAGTTGGTGAGCGAGAAATTTGTTTATTTCTTTATTTATTTACATCAAATGGCAGGCGTTTTGACAGTTATCATTAGCCCTTTAGTTGACCTCAGGCCTCACTGAGAGGAGGAACGTCAAAGTGAGAGAAAGACGAGAGAGAGGGGCACAGAAGAGTAGTTCAAAGAAGTAAAAGAGACAGACACAAAGGTAGAAAAATGGTGAGGTGAGTACTGTGAAAGTAGTCGAATATGACACACAGTGGGGTGATGGTAGTTTGAAGCGGTAAGTCACCTGCCGGTCAATAGACATTTTTGCCGTATGAGCATTCATTGCCCAGGATGCACCACGTGGAAGTAAGTCTACCGCACACCCCGTGTGGCTTATTCACTTCAGTGCTGGTTAGCAAATGCGGATATTTTATCCATCTCCATTCTCTATGACAAGCCATTTTCCGTTATACCGCTATTCACACAAGTAACTATGCATTTTCATAATATTCCTGCAATTTCAGGAAGTAATGCTTTTCAAATGCCACTTATGTCAACGCTGGAAATAAGTGATTGAAATGTGAAGTTGATTACTCAGATTTTGACTCGTTAAACAGCAAAGAACCTATCAAATGAGTGGGGAAAACAGTTGAAAACTTAAAGATGTTAATTTAACTTGAGTATGCAAATCTCAGCATTTAATAACACAAATAATCTTATCAAGGTTGATTGCCTAGAAAGAACGTTATGTATCTCAACGTTACACGGAGACTATATATACGCGAAGACCAATGAACTACAGTAAACCAACCTATCATGTCCTTAAAACAACTGAAAGTAGGTGAAATGTGAACAAAAGAACCCAGTAGGATAGTAGCATTTTCCTTCACAAAATGAACTTGTTAGTTGAAAATCTCTCTCTATAGGATTTAAATTTTGCTCTAACTTTACTCTTTCCCTTCAATGAAATGCCTGGAATGGCGTCTGCTTTTCGTAATGGATTTATTTAAGCATGAACTAATTGGTTGCAATGACTACTATTTATTTATTTCAAATGGCGGGCGTTATGATAGGTATCATTAGCCCTTTAGTTGACTTCGGGCTTCACAGAAAGGAAGATGAACATCGAAGTGGCAAAAAGTCGAGAGGGGGACACAACAATGTTTCACAGATGTAAAAGAGATAGACAGACAGATACAAAGGTAGAGAAAAGGTAAGGTAAGATGAGTACTGTGAAATTATTCGAATACGAAATGCAGTGGGGTCATGGTAGTTTGAAGTGAGAAGTCAACTGCCACAATGGGGTCATGGTAGTTTGAAGTTAGAAGTCAACTGCCTTTAATAGACTTTTTTGCCGTATGAGTATACGTTGCCCAGCGGTTTATAGACTTTTTGCCGTATGAGGTCACGTTTCCAAGCCATTTAATAGACTTTTTTGCCGTATGAGTATACATTGCCCAGGGCGTACCACGTGGAGGTAAGTCTATCGCACACCCCACATTGCTATTTCGCACAACGTGGAGGTAAGTCTATCGCACACCCCATTCATTAAATATATCACGGAGGTAAGTCTATCGCACACCCCGTATTTTAGACTTTTTTGTCGCATGAGTATACGTTGCCCAGGGTGTACTCATGGTAGTTTGAAGTCAGAAGTCAACTGCCGGTTAATAGATGGTAGTTTGAAGTGAGAAGTCAACTGCCAGTTAATAGTATGGTAGTTTGAAGTCAGAAGTCAACTGCCGGTTAATAGGGATCTTTTTGCCTTATGAGTATACGTTGCCCAGGGTGCACCACATTTTGCCGTATGAGTATGCGTTGCCCAGGGTGCACCACGTTTGTTTGCCGTATGAGTATACGTTGCCCAGGGTGCACCACGTGGGCAGTTTGAAGTTGGGTGATGGCAGTTTGAAGTGAGAAGTCAACTGCCAGTTAATAGACTTTTGGTAGTTTGAAGTCAGAAGTCAACTGCCGAATAATAAAGTGGCAGTTTGAAGTCAGAAGTCAACTGTCGGTAAATGTAATTTTGCATAGTTTGAAGTCAGAAGTCAACTGCCAGTTAATAGATTTAGTAGTTTGAAGTGAGCATACGTTGCCCAGGGTGCACCACGTGGAGGTGCCGTTTGAGTATACGTTGTCCAGGGTGCACCACCTGGAGGTAAGTCTATCGTGAGTATACGTTGCCCAGGGTGCACCACGTGGAGGTGTATGAGTATACATTGCCCAGGGTGCACCACGTGGAGGTAGCCGAATGAGAATACGTTGCCCAGGGTGCACCACGTGGAGGTAAGGTGTGAGTGTACGTTGCCCAGGGTGCACCACGGACTCTTTTGCCGTGTATACGTTGCCCAGGGTGCACCAGTTTAGACTTTTTTGTCGCATGAGTATACGTTGCCCAGGGTGTACTCATGGTAGTTTGAAGTCAGAAGTCAACTGCCGGTTAATAGATGGTAGTTTGAAGTGAGAAGTCAACTGCCAGTTAATAGTATGGTAGTTTGAAGTCAGAAGTCAACTGCCGGTTAATAGGGATCTTTTTGCCTTATGAGTATACGTTGCCCAGGGTGCACCACATTTTGCCGTATGAGTATGCGTTGCCCAGGGTGCACCACGTTTGTTTGCCGTATGAGTATACGTTGCCCAGGGTGCACCACGTGATAGACTTACTTGCCGTATGAGTACACGTTGCCCAGGGTGCACCACGTGGTGCCTTATGAGTATACGTTGCCCAGGGTGCACCACGTGGAGCCGTATGAGTAAACGTTGCCCAGGGTGCACCACGTGGAGCCGTATGAGTATACGTTGCCCAGGGTGCACCACGTGCCGTTTGAGTATACGTTGTCCAGGGTGCACCACCTGGAGGTAAGTCTATCGTGAGTATACGTTGCCCAGGGTGCACCACGTGGAGGTGTATGAGTATACATTGCCCAGGGTGCACCACGTGGAGGTAGCCGAATGAGAATACGTTGCCCAGGGTGCACCACGTGGAGGTAAGGTGTAGTATACATTGCCCAGGGTGCGCCACGTGGAGGTAAGATAGCTTGAACTCAGAAGTCAACTGCCGGTTTATAGACTTTTTTGTCACATGAGTATACGTTGCCCAGGGTGCACCACGTGGAGGTATGTCATTTGAGTATACGTTGTCCAGGGTGCACCACCTGGAGGTAAGTCTATCGTGAGTATACGTTGCCCAGGGTGCACCACGTGGAGGTGTATGAGTATACATTGCCCAGGGTGCACCACGTGGAGGTAGCCGAATGAGAATACGTTGCCCAGGGTGCACCACGTGGAGGTAAGGTGTGAGTGTACGTTGCCCAGGGTGCACCACGGACTCTTTTGCCGTGTATACGTTGCCCAGGGTGCACCAGTTTTTGCCGTATGAATATACGTTGCCCAGGGTGCACCACGTGTGCCTTATGAGTATACGTTGCCCAGGGTGCACCACGTGGAGCCGTATGAGTAAACGTTGCCCAGGGTGCACCACGTGGAGCCGTATGAGTATACGTTGCCCAGGGTGCACCACGTGCCGTTTGAGTATACGTTGTCCAGGGTGCACCACCTGGAGGTAAGTCTATCGTGAGTATACGTTGCCCAGGGTGCACCACGTGGAGGTGTATGAGTATACATTGCCCAGGGTGCACCACGTGGAGGTAGCCGAATGAGAATACGTTGCCCAGGGTGCACCACGTGGAGGTAAGGTGTAGTATACATTGCCCAGGGTGCGCCACGTGGAGGTAAGACCGTATGATTATACGTTGGCCAGGGTGCACCACGTGGAGGGGTATACGTTGCCCAGGCTGCACCACGTGGAGGTAAGTTTAATATACGTTGCCCAGCCGATTAATGGACTTTTTTGCCGTATGAGTATACGTTGCCCAGGGGTTTTTTGCCGTATGAGTATACGTTGCCCAAGGTGCACCACATTTTTGCCGTATGAGTATACGTTGCCCAAGGTGCACCACGAGGAGGTAATTCTATCGCGTACCCCGGTCTCTGTTTGTATTGACTAAAGGAAACGGATTCCTAAGGCAGAATTCATTCTGGGTCTTAATTAAGTTGAGGTAGTTAGTTCTACTAAATCATCTGATTTTCAGATACAATGGGACCGA